TTGCCGTGACGACCGGCTAGCTAGTTGATGCTAGCGTCCTTCCTCTCTCTCACCGCTACGGTTCAAAAACGTCAACTTGTGAGTTTTCGAGAGGTCGCAAATGACGAGCCACCACTTCTGGACGGTTTCCCACACACGCCCTCAAAGTTTAGTATCCGCGGAGAGCTGCCGTTTTCAGGAGATATGTTAAGTTTGTCAACGTTTCTGCTCAGAGAACCTGTTGCTGACAGCTCGGTGTGTCACTTCCGGTGAGTCTCCAGAATCTTCTGATTCTGAGTTATAATTTTACTGAATTTACATTTGCCCTTAGCCAGCAGTTTTACATTTCCCTCAATGTTGCCTGCTCTGGCCCCTGGAAGACAATTGACTATGATTGCTGGTGTCTGTAGCTTCACATGTCTGAGAACAGAATCATCAATTACCCCGGCAGGTGTGTCGCAGAGTGGGGAAAAACGGTTAGACACATGAACGGGTTGGTGGGGTACCTGGAGCTTTTGTTTAAGACAATGCTTCCTCCTCACCGTCACCCAGCCGCCCTCTTTCCTCAGCTGCTTGGGGTCTTCCGGGGAACAGCTAGCGGGGCCTACGATATCTTTGGCTGCCCCAGCTACAGGGGCCTGGCTAGCTACGGGTGAATGAAGGGTGCGAAGCCGAGTCTCCAATTCAGTAATCCTGGCCTCCAGAGCTGCAAATATGCTGCATTTGTTACAAGTATCATTACTGCTAAAGGAGGCTGAAGAGTAACTAAACATCTGACACAATGAGTAGGAAAGTGCAGGAGGGACAGGTGAAGAGGCCATGCTGCTAGCCAGCGCGTTATAAGCTAAGCTAAGCTAGCGAAACAGTAAAGACACAGTGAGTGAATACTTTGGCTATAAATTAGGTAGTGAGTACACAGAGACTGTGCTTTGGATGAAGTACGTGAAAATTATACTGTGAAATAAAATGTTATCTGTAGGTGTCTAATTAAAGAGGTGAGCACAGGTGAGCTACACAAACGGAACAGGAAGTGATACTCTACCGCAGAGAGAGCCAACACCAAATGACAGCGCCACATACTGTCTAACTGTGTGTCTGTCACACTCTATCTGACTGTCTGTCTCTTGTCTGTTTGTATGTCTGACAAACTCTTCCTGACTGTTTCTTTTGTCTGTCTGTCTGAATGTATCTGTTTGTCTGTAGGTCTGTCTCTCTGTCTTTCTGTTGGTTGGGCTATCTACCCATCTGTCTGACTGACTGACTCTGTCTTTCTGCAGCGAGAAGTGATGCAGTTCAGTCTCTGATGTCAGAGTTGAAGGTTTTGGTTCATCTCGGTCCTCACCTGAATGTTGTCAACCTGCTGGGAGCCTGCACGCGAGGAGGTCTCAGTTTACTCCTGATATAATCTTTGTTTAATCCCTAAGTGTTCCTCATATAACCCTAATATCATTCTTAAACAAATCCAGACATATCTCCAAAGGTTGATTTTGTTCTTCTGGACGCAGCATTTTCAGTTTCAGAAACGTTTCGTCACTCATCCAAGTGACTTCTTCAGTCTCAGCTGACTGCAGGTTTCCCAAATCTTATAAACAGTACTCTTGGATAATGACTGAAAACAGCCCACTGAAGAACCTGGCCCCCCAGCCCATTGTTCCTTCAGTGGTTTCACTGGTTTCAGTCATTATGCAAATGTACTGTTTATAAGATTTGGGAAACCTGCAGTCAGCTGAGACTGAAGAAGTCATTTGGATGAGTGACGAAACGTTTCTGAAACTGAAAATGCTACACCTCTGTCAGTGCGCCCCAGGGTGGCTGTGGCTACAACGTAGCTGCCGTCACCAGTGTGTGAATGTGTGTGTGAATGGGTGAATGACAGAATGTAGTGTAAAGTTCTTTGGGGTCCCTAGGGACCAAGTAAAGCGCTATACAAATACAGGCCATTTACTATTTACCATTTTATGTCCAGATGAACAGAATTAACTTTTGGAGATTTACTTACCTGGATGATTGAGCATGCATCAAGACATAATCCAGACATAATTCCAAGCAAATACAGAATTAATCCTCTTTTAATCCTCATTTATTTCTAGACTATTCTTTTCCCGAGTATTCACAAACTAATGTCTATCCTACAGTAAGTAATTTTATTTTTATTTATTTACAAGTTTCCAACTTAACCGTGACTGATTATGACCAACACTAATGAGTGAACAGGTGAGGCACACCAACTGTACATAGCGGAGATTAAACAGAGGTGTTCTTGTTGTCTGCAGTATCCTGGGATTATAATTCATGGAGATACTTGACTTAGTTCTAACCCAAGTCTTAGTCCTAAACCATCTCCAATGCTGTCCATACTCAAACTGATGCTAACTTAAACCTGACATGTCACCTGTGCAGGTCCCGTCTATCTGATCACTGAGTTCTGTTGTCATGGAGACCTGGTGAACTACCTGCAGAGGAACAAACATACCTTTCTACATGGAGACACACAGACCAAGAGGTCTGTCACACACCCACACTCACACACACGTAGATTCTGTCCAGTGCTGACTCACCGGCTCATCCACAGTGACAATGATGGAGGTTACATAGACATGAACAAAGAGGAGAGCGCTCAGTACGTTGCCATGAAGGAGCTCAGCTACGCCGACATCGAACCTGCCGTATACGAGACACCGTACACGCCTGCAGGTGATGGCTGCACACATTTATGGCCATAAATATGTGGACACACCACACTCCTACCTGCAGAGTCAAGTCACTGAACATCCATATTAAGAAGCTGTTCCATGGACCAGTATGGGATATCTCTGGTTTAACTGGTGTTGTTCTACTTCAGACCAGCAGGAGGCATCATCGCTGCTCCTCAGTGACAGTCCTCTCCTCAGCCTCAATGATCTCATCAGCTTCTCTTACCAGATTGTTCAGGCTATGGACTTCCTATCATCTAGAAAGGTACTAACACTCATAAACACAAATTCTTCAGTATGTACCTGTCACATGACCATAGGTGTAAACTGAGTTCAAGTTGTTGAATGGATCGGTTCTCACATAGCGCTCTTCTACTCTAACTGAGCACTCAAAGTGCTTGACACAACCTCCCTTATTCACTGAATCACTTCCTTCTATGCAAGTGCTTTTTCTAACATTCACACACATTCATACTTGGGTTTGCCCGAGGATATTTGCATATTGCAAGCACAATGGAGCAGCCAGAGATTGACGAGAGCAAAGCAGCTTTAAATAAAATCTCATTGTTGCTCTCAGCTGTTCTGAAATATAAGATTTATTTTAATTAATGAGCAATTTCCTCTTACAGTTTACCTGTTACAGGTTACAATTTAAATTTTGTTTTGATGAAGCAGATTCAAACTTCAAATGGTTGAAATGTTGTGATTGCACCAATGGTTAAAGAGTTGGTAGATTAACCTAAAACCTATGATCCCATCCATTTTAATGGGTTAAAGGCACAGTATTGCAGTGGTTTGAATCTCTGTGTCCCATTCGACTTTTAAAAACTCTAATTGGGTGATATGGTACTATAAGGTCATTAAGATAAGATGGGGCCTGATTATTTAAGATGTTGAATGTGAGGAGCAGGATTTTGAATTCTGGATTTAACAGGGAGCCAATGCAGCAGAGTGAAGAGTATGCGTGAAGAGTTCGTGGGGTCTGCCACTGGTGGCTTTGTGGATGCAGTGAGTGCAATAAGTGTCTGATTACTAGCTAAGTCAATCAGAGGTCAATAAAGTCAATATTGAATCAGTGTGTAACTTTGCCAAAACAATGTGGGACTCTGTAGATTTCTCTGGTCCCCTCCCCAATTGGACAAGGAGTGGCATGTTTAGCCGCATCTTCCCCTTAAATTTAGAGTAAACTTACCTGGACACAGTTAGACAAGTTGAGTTTTTTCATGCTGAATGTTGGTTTGTTGTGGCTCACACTGAAGTCACCGCATTATAAAGCTGTTCTTGTAAGCTTCTTTCTTTCAAATTCTTTGTATTTGAGGCCAAGGGTGTTCATCCTCTTCACTTCTAGCGGACACGGTTACCTCTCCCATGTTATTATGTGTTTCATCTTTCTTGGGCCACTCTGCCTGCCATAGTGTATAACTGGTCATGTGACTGCATGCCTACATCTGATTGGTGAAAGAGGTACAGGAAACTCCACTGGTGGCACAATCTGTTATTTCTAGTATTATCTAATGTTTGAAATTAATTACTATTTATTTTTAAAGTAATGAGTCAAATATTGCCAAATATAGAAGATTAACAGTAGTGTTCCTTCTTCACAAATGTACTCCAGTATGAGTAAAAAGTACGGTGCAATAAAGGTACTGCTAGGAGTACTTTTTTATTTCAAAAACGTACTCAAGTAAATGTAACAGAGTAAATCTAACTCGTTACTATCCACCTCTGCAGGACTGCCATGTTTAGCCACATGTTCTCTTAAATTGCTGGCTGTCTGAGTGGTGTCCAAAAAACAATATGGGCTTCATAGATAATTGGGAAACTTTCTGTAGAAAACCTGGTCTTGTTAGGAGAGATGGCATCCAACCCCCCAAAATATGACTATCCAGAGTTGAGACCATAAAGCAGAGTTGCAGTCTTACACGCCTCTCTGCAGCTTCTCTCCTCCTGTTACCCCCCAAAACCCATCTCCATAGAGACTGTGTCAGCTCCCAAACAGACAAAAAACAAACTAAAAACCAGCAATTTAAACACAAAATATATATATAGTACGCACAACAGCACAAAAGAGTAAAACAGGGAAATTTATTATATTATTATTATTATCTTCATGATTATTATTATTATTATTATTAAACATTAAGTCTCTCTCTTCCGAGTCTTTGTTAGTATACTCTGCCTCACACACTGTACAACCTCATTAGTTCCCAGAATTCATGCAGGTGGGTGCATGGGGGCTCAGCCCCGGTGCGGGAGACTTCTGGTGCATCGGCCCAACTGGAAGTCTCTCTAACTGGTGGGGAGGCTGTTACATCTTTGCAGGAGGTCTCCTCTCTACAGGAGCTCACTCTGCAGGTGGGGGACAGATATAGGAGAGGTAGAAAATGAACTCAAACTGGGTGTCTTGTGTAGTGTTTTGGGTGTCTTGTGTAGTCTGGGAGATGATTGGATGATGGGGTGGGTGCAGTTTTCACTGCAGTGGGGTCAGGTGGGCTGCCCGGACTCTGTGGGGCTGGGCGGTGCTGCTGCTTTGGGCCCCGGTCCGGATAGGCCTGGCTGTAGTTGAACCATTACTTAAAAAACATCTCTAGACCCAGCTGTCTTAGCTAATTATAGGCCAATCTCCAACCTCCCTTTCATATCAAACATTCTTGACAATTCTTTCAGTGGTGCTAGTTTCAGTCACTGTTAAAATGTCCTGTTTATATGGTTGAAACCTGCAGTCCTGTTACATCGCACCATGTAACAGGAACAGGAAGTGATACTGAGATACGAGGGTTTTGTTGACCAGTTGATGTACTCACATGTTACCTTGTTTACCCATTTATCTGTATTCGTGTTGTGTGTCCCTCAGTGTGTGCACAGAGACCTGGCGGCGAGGAACATTCTGGTGTGCGAGGGGAAGCTGGTGAAGGTCTGTGACTTTGGTTTGGCCAGAGACCTGCTGAAGGACCAGGATTACATCGCCAGGGGAAACGTTAGTTAACCAGTTCAGTCAACTATACTGAGGGTTCCTGACATCATCAGGTCAGGTGTTCACCTGTGCACCCACCTGTGTGTTTCAGAGCTTCCTGCCGCTGAAGTGGATGTCTCCAGAGAGCATCTTCCAGAACATTTACAGCTCGCAGAGCGATGTTTGGTCCTATGGAGTTCTGCTGTGGGAGATATTCTCTCTGGGTAACCCAGTCTGTCACACCAGTGTCCAGCAGCCTCGCCTCTATCAGTGCACCCCAGGGTGGCTGTGGCTACAGTGTAGCTGCCATCACCACTGTGTGAATGTGTGTGTGAATGGGTGGATAAAGCGCTATATAAATACAGGCCATTTACCATTTGCCATTTACACAGGGTGGACTGGTTTATTGATTCTTCTTGCTGACGTTTACCTTTTAAAGTTATACACACAGTTTTAATTTGAAAGTGTAAATTGGTCATTAACTGGAAACCAGTTCAAAACCAGGAAACAGATCCAGCAGCTGGAACAAACCATTACCAGCAACCTCACAGCCCAGAAGAACAGACTTAACTTTAATCAAAGAGAAAAAAGGGAATTTATTGTACATTTCAATCAAAAACAAGAACAAAGGTCCAGACGTTGCTGTGAGATCTCCTTCAGACTCACACTTCCCTCTGGTCGACTGTGACAGGTGTGTCTGCTCACTACTGTCAGCCTTGTCTCCGCCCCCTCACCACAGGGTTTCTGTGTTTTGGTCCCAGGCTGCAGCCCGTACCCCGACCTCCCCATGACCCAGGAGTTCTACTCTGCTCTGAAGAGAGGATACAGGATGAGTCGACCCGACCACGCTCCTGAGGACATGTATGACACAACGCATGCAGGCGCACACATCAGCTTCCTGTGACAACGCTCAGCATGACCCTCTGCACTTTTCGGTCTGCAGGTACGACGTGATGAAACGCTGCTGGGAAGAGAAACCTCAGTCCAGACCTTCATTCTCTTCACTGCTCATCGCAATGGGCAACATGCTGACTGACGACTATAAACAGGTACCAACACCTGCCTCAGGTAAGCATCACACACCACCTGACCCAGGAGACGCTGACCATGTTGTTGTGTGTCAGCGTTACCTGCAGATTGCCGAAGACTTCCTGAACGGAGGAAATCCAGCTGTGCACCGATACAAGCAGAGTTTATCCAGCGGTGCAGAGGAGCAGGAGGACGCGCACGGTAACACACACAGTAACACAGACACAGACACGCTAACACACTCTCACACAGTACCACACACAGTAGCACACGCGGTAACACTCACTCGCACAGTAACACTCATGTTAACACACACACACCGTAACACACACACTCGCACATTAACACACAGGCTAACAAAAAACACTGTAACACACACACACACACACGTATAGACACACACACAGACCCACACGCACACACACACACACACAGTAACACACATGTTAACACACACACACACACAGTAACACACACACACGCACATTAACACACAGGCTAACAAAAAACACTGTAACACACACACACACACACGTATACACACACACACAGACCCAGACAGACACACACACAC